AGAGAGAGAGACACACACACACACACCCAGTGAAGCATAAATATTAATAAATTTTTGGGGTCTATAAAGTTTTGATAATTATGAGAGATGGATTTTGTGTGTGTGTGTGTGTGTGTGTGTGTGTGTGTGTGTGTATTATACTGTACATATCTGTTAACAAAACCAAATTAATTGTGTAACTTTATTTCGTTGTAATAAATATTTTACACAATTTTACCCAACCGCTGTTATTATTATTATTATTATTATTATTATTATTACTATTATTATTTCGTGTCTTTAACCCATAACAAACTTAAACAACACAACTAATAATAACAATAATAATAACTTACAACAATATTAAATAATTCTATCAAAATATCCCCCCCCCCAGAAGAGAAATTTAACACTAAATCAACTCAGCTGGCGTGACATGGCAACTAGCCCTGCCCTGCCCTCATAAAGTTGCCACATAGTAAATAAATACGACGAATTCCGGGAGAAACTGACCACCGGAGCTTGATGAATACTCCCTTTCTTATCAGTACCTTGGTTCGACCTCTTTCTCGTTCCAAATGGTTCTCTTATTCGTTCTCTGAGACCTTTTGGTTCTCTCTAGCTATGGTTCTCTAATAGTGTGTGTGTGGGGGTCTCTGTTTTGTGTGTGTTAGTGAAGATATTGAAAGGTTGTTGTGGTGTTAATGGTGGTTAGGTTAGGTTAGGAAGAAGTTAGGTTAGGTTAGGGTTAGGGTTGGGTTACGTTGGGTTAGGAATGAGGTAGAGAAGGAGGAGAAGAAGGAAGACCAAGTCAGTTTGGCAGAGGAGGAGGAAGACAAAGGAAAAAAGAAGAAATAAATAAGAAGACCAACAAATAAAAGAGAATTAGAACAAGAAATAAAAGAGAAGAAGAAGAAGAAGAAGAAACAGATAATTAAAGTAAAAAGTCAAATACAATTGATCATAATAACACAGTGGACGAGAGACCTGAAGACTGTCTTGGTAATCATCCTAACTACCACCCGGTGAGAATTAGCCAGTCACTGTCTTCAGGTATTATGAGTAGCCAATCCAACGTCTCAAGGGATTAGACCCAATACCCAATCTAACCTCTGAAGGATTAGATGAAGACCTACTCTAACCTAACCTGACCTAACCAAATCCACACTACTGACATATTAGTAAACTTCTTTCACACACACACACACACACACACACACACACACACACACACACACACACACACAGACACAGGTAGAGGTCATGTAATGAGTTTCACAAATTAGTAATTAACATTGTTGTGAAAGCACAATTAATTGATAATTACCTGATAAATTGATGAGTCTTTCCTCTATCTTCTATCTTTCACTCTCTCTAATCTGATCTATCTACCTGTGCATCTATCTATCAATTTATACTTATGCAGAGAGAGAGAGAGAGAGAGAGAGAGAGAGAGAGAGAGAGAGAGAGAGAGAGAGAGAGAGAGAGAGAGACTGGCAAACTACATACCCAATATATTGTAATAACACACACACACACACAAACACACACACACACACACACACCACACATTCTCCCACCCCCTGTAGAAGGATGCCCTGGCCAGACTCTTGAAACTTTCACGGAAGAGGGGAGGGGGGTAGGGAAGGGGAGAGGAGGAGAGGGAAGGAGGGGGAGAATGGTTAAAGACAGAGGGAAATGAGAGAGAGAGAGAGAGAGAGAGAGAGAGAGAGAGAGAGAGAGAGAGAGAGATTAAACCATACATTTTAGGTAAAGGTTTGTTTTAGATCTTCAAAGCTTTATCTTAAGCTTTAAAGTTAAGATACACCAAAAGAAAGCTTAAAAAAGAGAGTGGTTTATCTTAAGGATTTTACTCAATGATAAAATGAAAGATTGAAATATTTTTAGGGTAATATTTAGTGAAGAAGCTTAAGGTAAGGGAATTTGGGGAGGATAGAGCAGCTTTATGGGACGAGTGAAAAAAATATAAGTAAGAATATTAAGACAGGTGATTTAGGTAAGGCTTTAGGTGTAGGTAGGTAGGCAGGCAGGCAGGTAGGTAGGTAGGTAGGTAGGTAGGTAGGTAGGTAGGTAGGTAAGGTAAGGTAAGGTAGGTACTGTACAAATATTTACCTTTTGGCGGGATTACGAGTCATGTTAACATTACGAGTCATGTCAACATTACGACACGTCATTCCGGCCTCAATAACGTCATCCATTACGTAATAAAGAGCCGGACAAGGCGATAATAACGATAAAGGTGGAAAGTGATACGAAATTAAGTTAAATGACAGAGAGAGAGAGAGAGAGAGAGAGAGAGAGAGAGAGAGAGAGAGAGAGAGAGAGAGAGAGAGAGAGAGACCCGTTATTGGAACATGGAAGGATGGATTCTTAGTCTTCTGAAAGGAATGTCAAAAGAAGGCTATGGGATGAAGGAATATGGAAATAAATAAGGAATAAGAGGAATGAGGAAGAGAAACAGAATAAAGAAGAAGAAGAAGAAAGAAAGATGAATAATAAGACAAGAAGAAGAGGGGCGTGGAGAGGAGAAGAGAATGGAAGAATGGAAGAAGAACCAGAAATAAGATAACGACCAACACAGATACAATTAAGATAACAATGTAAAGGTGACTGGTGATATTAGTTAGATGACTGTGGTGGTGGTGGTAGTAGTGGTGGTGGTGGTAGTGGGTGGTGGTGGTGGTGGTGGGTAGTGGTGGGTGTGGGTGGTGGTGGTGGTGGGTAGTGGTGTGGTGGTGTGGTGGTGGTGGTAGTGGTGGGTGGTAGTGGTGTGGTGGTGGTGGGTGTGGTGGTGGTGGTGGTGGTGGTGGGTGGTGGTGGTAGTGGTGGTGGGTAGTGGTGGTGGTGGTAGTGGTGGTGGTAGTAGTGGAGTGTGGTGGTGGTGGTGGTGGTAGTGGTGGTGGTGGTAGTAGTGGTAGTGGTGGTGGTGGTAGTGGTGGTGGTGTGGTAGTAGTGGTAGTGGTGGTGGTGGTAGTGGTGGTGGTGGTAGTGGTGGTAGTGGTGGTGGTAGTAGTGGTGGTGGTAGTAGTGGTGGTGGTAGTGGTAGTGGTGGTGTGGTGGTAGTAGTGGTGAGTAGGGTGGTGGTGGTGGTGGTGGTAGGTGGTAGTAGGTAATGGCGTGTAGTAGTAGTGATGGTAGTAGTTGTAGGTGGTAGTTAGGATCGTAGTTGTAATGGCGGCACAGCCTGTTTTATTCAGGCAAAGGCAGGCTACACACTTAACGCTGGTCAACTCTTCACTTTAAGTATAGATTAAGTTAACGGATTTCTGCTCACCTTCACCAGGTAAAGATGTCTGGACAGGTGCAAGGGGGGGAAGACGGGGTTAAGGGGGCAAAGGAGGAGTTTGAGGGCTGGGCAAGAGTTGTGAGGGCAGGTAAAGGTGTGAGGGCTGGGTAAGAGTTGTGAGGGCTAGGCAAGAGTTGTGGGAGGGCAGGGTAAGAGTTGTGAGGGCAGGGTAAGAGTTGTGAGGGGCAGGGTAAGAGTTGTGAGGGCAGGGTAAGAGTTGTGAGGGCAGGGTAAGAGGTGAGGGCAGGGTGGGAGTGTAGGAGGGCAGAGGTAAGAGGTTGTGGAGGTCAGGGTAAGAGTTGTGAGGGCAGGGTAAGAGTTGTGAGGGCAGGGTAAGAGTCAGGAGGTCAGGGTAAGAGCGAGAGGGCAGGGTAAGAGTGAGGTCAGGTCAGGTCAGGTCACTTAAACACTTTACAACTGGACAACTATTACTGTTTTAACAACACTCACTGAACGAGAGCGTTAAGTGCTTCAGGTCAGCTCTAAACTGACTTGGCAATAAACTGACTCGGCTCTTAAACTGATTCAACTCTAAAACTGACTCGGCTCTAAGCTGACCCGGCTGGAAACTGACTAGGCTATAAACTGACTCCTCGGCTCTTAACTGACTCGACTATAAACTGATTCAGCTCTTAACTGACTCAGGACTAAACTGACTCGGCTCTAAACTGACTCAACTCTTAACTGACTCGGCTCTTAACTGACTTAACTCTTAACTGACTCGGCTCTTAACTGACTCAACTCTTAACTGACTCGGCTCTTAATTGACTCAACTCTAAACTGAAGCGGCTCTAAACTGACTCAGTTTTCAGCTTAAAGTTTTATAGGTTCAGGTCTGACTGGTGACGAGGAAGAGCTGGAAAGTTTTAGAGCTGACTTGACGCCGCTTGAGGCAATTTTTGTAAAGAGCTTTTTTTTCATATAATGATGAGCGAGTCAACTAATTATAACTTTCTTCTGGCTATAATTAACAACCCACAACCCCCCCTTCCGGATCTATAACACTTTTAACCCCCCCCCTTCTAAGACCTCACCCCATAACCCCCCCCCTACACACACACAACACTTTGGCAAGAATATAAATAAAATGTCTTTGGTCAGTGGCAGGAGTAAGCAGTGTTGCCATATTATTACTTTCACTCCACCACCCTCCACCTTTTACTGATCGAGTCACTGGCTGCTGCAAACTACATAACCTGCCAATAACGTCAAGTTTCTAAGACGTTTATTAAAGAGTCAAAAAGAATAATAATAGAATATCACCCCCCCAAAAAAAAATATGTTCACTATGTTCTTTTCTTCTGGTGTTCTTTGATGATAAGGTTGAATAGGTAAGAACATTGGCATCACTGTTCTGTTTTGTTCACTGCTGATGTACGATGATGATTAACGAATGCACTGGTGTTCTCTCTCGCTCGAGCTATCTCTCTATCTCTCGCTATCTCTATATCTATCTCTCTCTGTGTGAACTTTCTTCATTACCAATATCAGGTTACTCCAATAGACGGGTCAAATTTCCATTGCAACAACAAAAACAATCACAAATAGATAAATAAATATATATATGTAGTCTACACAAACACACACACATATATATATATATATAAATAATAGATATAAAATCCCGGGTCACGTAACGTTGTCCTGAAATGGCGGGCGGAGTTTTGAAGTCAATATATTTTTTTTTGTGTGGTGTAAATGGCGCCTCTCTCACCTTGTGAAGCGACCAGAACACTTGGCTCACTGTGGTGTGTGTTGGGCGGGAAGTAGCTGGGCAGCGCGTCTCTCTGGGTCTTATATACCCTCCTACTTTCAGCGTGCGGACCCGCTGCTTCAGCCCATGTGAAAAAGGAATCATAAAAATGTTGACTCAAGGTTAAGCGGCGCCGATTGGCCACTGAGATGCGAGGATGCCGGTGACGTCATCGAAAATAAAGTGAAGGCCCCCGATGGTTCATCTGCGCATGCCCGGGATGGATGCCGACCGTTACCCGACGATACCGTACCGATAACCCGAATTTCTTCTCCTTAAAATCGCCAACGAAGAGGACTTTTCCAGCCGGCCTCATGCACCGGCTGGCTTGGATATCAGGCAGTGCATGTTAGGAACGGTTAGAAAGTGGAAGAAAATCTCCTGTTATCTAAACAATTCCTGTAAGGTTCGTGCGGCTGGCAGGGGGGAGGGCGCTGGAATGGGGTCTCCTGCAGGTGGGCGGAGGTATGAGAGTCACCCAGCCTCACTCATCGCTGGGCACCCGCCGGGGCAGGACCTACACCTCCACATGATGCAATGTCGACCTAGACCGAATTTTGACTAACTTTAACCCTTTTATGGTGATGGTTTGACCTGTAACCCTTTGAGGTCGTAGGTTAAACCATCATCATCAAAGGGTTACAGGTTAAACCATCGTCCTCAAAGGGTTGCAGGTTAAACCATCGTCCTCAAAGGGTTACAGGTTAAACCATCGTCCTCAAAGGGTTACAGGTTAAACCATCATCATCAAAGGGTTACAGGTTAAACCATCGTCCTCAAAGGGTTACAGGTTAAACCATCATCATCAAAGGGTTACAGGTTAAACCATCGTCCTCAAAGGGTTATACAAGTACATACCCGCAGAGAATGTATAATTGTATCTGAACACACACACACATCTACCTATTAATGGTCGTTATAATGAACAACTACCTCTAATGGTCGTTACAATGAACAACTACCTCTGCTGGTCGTCATAATGAACAACTGCCTCTAATGGTCGTTATAATGAGCAACTACTCTAATGGTCGTTATAATGAGCAACCACCTCTAATGGTCGTTATAATGAACAACTACTCTAATGGTCGTTATAATGAACAACTACTCTAATGGTCGTTATAATGAGCAACTACCTCTAATGGTCGTTATAATGAACAACTTAATGGTCGTTATCAACTTGAACTACCACAATAACATACACCGGACGAGGGTAATTACATACCGACAACTACCATCACACCTCATTAACAAGCACAGTCCGCGCCAGTAGTTATGACTGCAACTCACTGCCCCACCCGTCCGTGTCCGTGTCTGTGTCTGTCTGTATGTGTATATAACTGTGTTTTTGTGTCTGTCCGTGTCTGTCTGTGTTTGTCTGTCCGTGTCTGTCTGTCCGTGTCTGTTCGTGTTTGTCTGTCCGTGTCTGTCCGTGTCTGTCTGTGTTTGTCTGTCCGTGTCTGTCTGTGTTTGTCTGTCCGTGTCTGTCTGTTTGTTCGTTTATTCGCCTTATGCAACAAAGGAACAATGTTATTGATAGCTAAGAGAATATAATAATAATAATAATAATAATAATAATAATAATAATATATAAGAAGAAGAAGAAGAAGAAGAAGAAGAAGAAGAAGAAGAAGGAGGAGAGGGAGGAGGAGGAGAGGAGGGTGGTCACTTCACTATAATAATCCCATAATGAACCAACACTATTTACCTGTTAATGAGTCAACAGTAAACAGAAGGTGAGTGTCTGTTTACCGTGTGGGGGCGTGGGGTGGTTAGGGAGGGGGTGGGGTGGTTAGGAGGGGGGGGTCAGGAGGGGGTGGGGGTCTGAGGAGGGGTGGGGGTCAGGAGGAGGTGTTAGGGAGGGGTGGAGGGTCAGGAGGAGGTGGGGGTGTTAGGAGGGGGTGTGGGGGTCAGGAGGGGGTGGGGGGGTCAGGAGGTGTTAGGAGGGGGTGGGGTCAGGAGGGTGTTAGGAGGTGTGGGGGATCAGGAGGTGGGGGTGTTAGGAGGGGGGGAAAATATGTAAACTCGCATTAAAAGTTTCCATGGCTATTCTGTTCAGGTGTGGCATAGGTAGTGGTAGTGGTGGGTAGTTGTGGTAGTGGTAGTAGTTGTGGGTAGTGGATATGGTAGTGGTAGTAGTGGTAGTAGTTGTGTTGTGGTAGTAGTTGTGGTAGTGGTAGTGGTGGTAGTGGAGGTGGTAGTGGTAGGTTGTGGTAGTGGTAGTAGTTGTGGTAGTGGTAGTAGTGGTAGTAGTTGTGGTTGTGGTAGTAGTTGTAGTAGTAGTGGGTGGTAGTGGTAGAGTTGTGGTAGTGGTTGTGGTGGTAGTAGTTGTGGTTGTGGGTAGTAGTTGTATGGGTGGTAGTAGTTGTGTGTGTGTGGTAGTAGTTGTGGTAGTAGTTGTGGTTGTGGTAGTGGTTAGTGGTAGTGGTAGTAGTTGTGGTTTGTGGTAGTAGTTGTGGTGGTGGTGGTAGTTGTGGTTGTGGCAGTAGTTGTGGTAGTGTGGTAGTTGTGGTAGTGGTAGTAGTGGTAGTGGTTGTAGTTGTAGTAGTGGTTGTGGTAGTAGTTGTAGTAGTGGTAGTAGTTGTGGTTGTGGTAGTAGTTGTGGTAGTGGTAGTAGTTGTGGTAGTGGTAGTAGTTGTGGTAGTGGTAGTGGTGGTAGTGGTTGTGGTTGGTGGTAGTAGTTGTGGTGAGTGGTAGTAGTTGTGGTTGTGGTAGTAGTAGTGTTTGTGGTAGTGGTAGTTATTGTGGTAGTTTGAACTAACAAGAACAACTGAGGAAGACACACACACACACACTGCTGTCATACTGAACTACTTTTAAAAGGATAATTGAACCCGTGAGACAGATTGTAATTAACAAGGCACTTCGAGCCTCCCAACCACTACTACAACACAACAACATTATCACAACATCTACAACAACAACCACTACTACAACAACAACAATTATCACAACATCTACAACAACAACCACTACTACTACAACAACAACCATTATCACAACATCTACAACAACACCACTACTACAACAACAACAACCATTATCACAACATCTACAACAACAATCACTACTACAACAACAACAACCACTACTACTACTACAACAACAACCACTACTACAACATCTACAACCGCGAGAGGTACAGATTGAAAACACATGGGAGAGAGAGAGAGAGAGAGAGAGAGAGAGAGAGAGAGAGAGAGAGAGCCGCGACAGGTACAAATGAGCCACCACCTCCTCCTCTCACCCCGGGCCAACGATTGTCACCTGGCGATATTACCTTAATTGTTCCTCTACCTGTATTGACTAACCTCTCTTAATACAAACACATTCCAAAGGTAAATAAGACTGAGAGAGGGAGGGAGGAGAGGGGAGAGGGAGAGGGAGGGAGAGGGAGAGGGGAGGACGAAGGAAGAAGAGGAGGAGGAAGAGGAAGAAAGAGGAAGAAGGAGGAGAGGAGGAAGAGGAAGAAGGATAAATATAGGTACTGTATTATTTCCTAATTAAAATACCTGGATCTAGTTGGAGAGGAATTCAGTTCTTGTGACAGATGGTTGGTAACGTGACAGACAGATGGTTGGTAACGTGACAGACAGATGGTTATAATTATACCACTGGAGGGTTTATCTCTGTCCTAACCATCTGTTCAGGGGTCATTTAGATGGCATTTAGAACCATCTTTAATGACCGAACCACCTTGTAAAACACTCACTCTTGTCATAACCATTCGTCACTTGTCAAAATGAATTAGTCAAAACGTGTGTGTGTGTGTGTGTGTGTGTGTGTGTGTGTGTGTGTGTGTGTGTGTGTGTGGTGTTACTTTTCACAACAAACTGATTCTTCTTCTTGTTCTTGTTCTTGTTCTTGTTCTTCTTGTTCTTGTTGTTGTTGTTGTTCTTCTTCTTCGTCTACACCTCCTTCAGTAATCAGTAATTCTCTGAAGCTATTTCTTAACAAACACAGTTAATCATTGCCTGTTATTGAGTTCAGGAGGACGAGCCTTGTAAATATACCATCCCATTCTTGACCAATCATAAGCGAGGAGGAGAGAGAAATGACTGTTTATTGGTTCTTCAGGTGTGTGTGTGTGTGTGTGTGTGTGTGTGTGTGTGTGACCTACTGTAACTGCGCATACCTCTCCAACAGCCATCTATACAGCCCTGTAGGTCATATCAGGTCAGGTCACCATGGAGTAGAGAACCTGTCTGTGTGTGTCTGTCTGTCACGAGGAAAAGTAACTTAGATATTAATAACCACAATATAAAAGAAAAGGTTGAAAGAAAAGCTATTGAAAAAGACTTTGACTCATAAGGTGAAGTAAATCTAGAAAAAACGTGAAAAATATCGATTAACGCCATGAAGTGATAGAAAGTGTACTAGTGATGTGGATGAAACAAAACAAACAATCCCCAAAAGGTTGAAAAAGGTTATTGATCTAAATTAAATCCGAAAAAACAAACAAAAATAACCAGCCAATGAAAGAAATTAGTAAAAAAAAAAAGAATTTATAATCTGAAACAAATCCTAATATATTAAAAAAAATCCTATATTGACCTATAAGGATCTGGGGGGAGTGATCCTTGAGGACACCAGGAAGGCACCGAGGCCGATACTATACTCGACCACCTACTTCCTCAACTGTAAATGTAGGTAACCTGTGATCGAACCAACTACTCTCTACAAAAAAAAGAGCGTTGTAACCACACAACCACCGCACACATGACGTGACTTATACAGTATACACCCCGAGAGTATACTGACCAAGAGACAGGGTGTATAACAGGTGAGTGTACTGTAGGCAACTGTCTCAAGAGGCGATGGTGAAGAACTGTCTGACGAAGGAGAGGGTCGTAAGGGAGTCCAATAACCTGCCCCTCTTCCTGCTGTTCCTCCTACTGTCTCTGCTGACTGTGGGTAGCAGAGCAGCTTCTTCTGAGGATGGAGGTGAGTGTGTCTGCTGCAGGTTAGGTTAGGTTAGGTTAGTGTAGTTTAAGTTAGGTTAGGTTACTGTAGTTTAGGTTAAGTTAGGTTAGTGTAGTTTAGGTTAAGTTAGGTTAGGTTACTGTAGTTTAGGTTAGTGTAGTTTAGGTTAAGTTAGGTTAGGTTAGTGTGGTTTAGGTTAAGTTAGGTTGGAGTTGGT